TCAATCCTGTTGTTGCTTAATTTACTTCGACACTTTTATTGCAAACGGACCTAACGTACCCCATGAGTTAAATCTCTTACCCGTTGAAAAACAACATTTATCTTCGGGCTGTTTCACCTTGAAGTTTGTACGTTCCGATTTACTTCCATTGTAAGCTTTTTCAAAATGTTTTGGTTTTCTGAAGGTTGACTTGAATTTTTTGCAATTTTTTCTCTATGTTAACCTTGCATGTTCCAGTAAAATGCTGTGCTTGAAAGCTAAACAGTAAAACAGTTTTCATATCTGTCAGATTTAAACTGTGTTTTAAGTCTACTTAATTCAAGCAGTTTGAGTTAAGAGTCTGCTGATCTCAACCCCGAGATAAAAATCTTTCGAATCATCTCGTCTTCCGCTTAAGCGTTTTTTTTAAGTTCAGAACATTTATAATACCCAGCAGATTCTTGAAGTCTTTCAAGAAAGTCGTCGTCAGACTCTCTTTGATTCCGAACTGTCATTATGATTTTGGCTCGTTCAGCAACGACCAAATGTGCTCTGGGTCTGCAGTAGTCTCGTAGCACAGTGTGGATTTCATTGAACATCATCTTGCAGAGGGTTTTTTTTGGCGAAACAAGTCTCTTCAACTACAAGATTGCTCGCACTCCACATTGACGGAGGAAAAAAATTCGCCCTTTGAAGGTCTGCGGGATGTGTTCCCTCTGCGACCTGGTCGCTTTTCTTCTCTGACAGTGCTCTCCCAAGAAAAGCAACCAGCCAAGCAATTGCCTCTTCAGTTTCAAAAAATCTAATCAATTATTAAGGTTCGTCGTTTCAGAATTCCAGTAGGAACACCAATGTTGTGGATCGATGAAAGGCGAGAGATTTTTTTGAAAACGTTTTTGAGATCGATGTTGCTGATAGTTTACCAAAAGTTTAGTTAGTGTTTGTAGTTGTTATCACTGGGAAAAGTATGCAAAAAAAACAAGATAAGTCATTAGAGATAAAAATCCTTTTTGTTCACGTGTTAAATCAAAATTGGAGGAAACATGTGGCAAAAAAACGCGTTTTTGTCGGCCAAAGTTGGATTGTATAGCGTTTGGTGAGGCGATTGGATCTTAAGAAAAGTTGACGAAGTTTTCGCAAGAAAAGTCGTCAAAAAATCGACATGCCTCTCTTAAGAAAAACCCAGATCCGCACCTACTTGAGACCCCGAGGGAAAAAAGTCTCGCACATTTTATACAATCAGATGAATCTAAGAATTGGTAAACTTAACAAACAATTTATTGACAAAACTAAATATTAATTTTTTGGTTCAAAACTTCATTGCGTGAGACTTGAAAAATATGCAAAAACGAAATGAAGTCTGTCTCGAAAAAATTACGAACTAAAACGAAATGAATAAGAACTCTCTCGAAAAAATACACGGTTCGGGTCTTCGGGACTGCGTTATGCTTTATATTTTTTTTTGAAGAAAACGTTTTTTTTGAATACCAAATTTGTTCTGCACTTCAAAGTGGCGTTTTTGTGCAACTTGAAAGAAATCTTTAGTCAATGTTTGCACTTACTGCAGTGTTGTCTTCAATTGTTTTCTATTTAAAAAGTGTTGTTCTTTTTTTCTGTTGTGTATCCTTTACTTTTCTGTTGTGTATCCTTCGGGCTGCTTTTGTACGTATTCATCGATTGAATTGTAATGATCGATTGATCTTTAGCACTCACAAAGACTTTCAAAAACTGATTATACTGCATTTATAGTTGATTTTTAATGTTTTTTTTTGTTGATAAAACATTTGCAAACAGTCGAAAACTCTCGATTATAATGACTAATGGATTTTTCTTTGGGAAACAGTAATTTTAGAATCTATTCTTAAGATCAGTCTTGACTGACTGTTTTTCAATTTTAGAGGAACCAAGAAGAATTATAACATTTGTTGTACCAAACTTGATAATCAGAATAAACACTAGGTCTAAGATTTTTTTTGAGCAATTGGAAACTTGAGCTATTTTTTTTCAAATTCTGCCAATCGATATGACCAAAAAAGCTAGTCATACAATTTCCCTTCTTGAATTAAAACTGATCATAAATTTTCCATTCAATTTATCAGTACAGAAAATCCATTAAAATTTTATGACTAGTATTGTTTTCGTATGAGTAAAATGTATATACAGTTTATCCATATATCAAAAAAGCAATTTTTTGTCGTTCTTCTCAATATTTTTGCTTGTATTTGTAACCAAGACAAGACACTGGCTTTCTGATTGCACAACACCCTCAAGACCAGTAGCAGACTTAGGGTAATTGGACACCTCCATAGAGAATCGACCCTCTAAAGACCAAAAGAATCCCCTTTGGCACTATTTTAAGACATAAAGATTTGGCTGACGGACCTTATCTTTCTTCAAAAGCACCATAAAATGCGAACTTTGAGGAAAAACATGGCAAAAAACGCGTTTTTGTTGGCCAAAGTAGGGTTGTATAGTGATTGGGGAGAGCTCGGTCAATCAAATCAGTCGATTATAAAAATGTTGGCAAAATTTTTGCAAAAAAAAGTCGACATGCCTCTCTTGAGAAAAACATAGATCCTCCCCTGCTTAGACCCCGAGGAAAAAAATTCTCACACATTTTATGCAATGAGATCAATTTAATAATTGTGAAACTGAACAAACAATTTATTGACAAAACTGGGTATTAATTTTTTGGTCAAAATTTTGTTGCGTAGGACTTCAAAAATATGCAAAACCGAAATGAAGTTGTTTGAGTTAGCTTTTTTTAGAAGAACCGTCTCGAAAAAAGTACAGTTTTTGGGTCATGGGGACTGCGTTATGAATAATGTTTTTTTGAAGAAAACGTTTAAGTGAATCCTAAATTTGTTCTGCAATTCAAAGTGAAGTTTTTGTGCAACTCGAAAGAAATCTTTAGTCAATGTTTTTATTTACTGCAGCGCTGTTATTTTCAATTTTTTTTTAATTTAAAAAGTGTTGTTCTTGTTTTTCCGTTTTGTATCCTGCGGGCTGGTTTTTTACGTATTCATCGATTGAAACATGAGCACTCACAAAGAATTTTAAAATTGATCTTAATTCATTGGAATTGATTTGTATAGATTTTCATTGCGTAGGACCTGAAACATCGTTTTTTCATTGCGTAAGACCTAAAAATCATGCCTGAAACATCAAAATGAATTTTTTAAAGTTTTTTCATAAGATATGTTTTGGGTACATGTTTCGGGTATTTAGTACACGTTTCGAGTGTTTACGGCTATGTTATGCCTAAAGTTTTTTTTTGTATCCCAAATTTGAGATTCCCAAATTGGTTTTTTCTATTCAGTCATTTTTTGGGGATTCAAATAATAGATTTTGGCGAAAAAAAAATTACACATCATAGAAGATCACCCCATTGAAGATCAAACCCCTCTGAAATCAAATATAAAATTTTTTTTACGTTCAATCTTTTTTTTGCAAAAAATCTGAGGGCTCAAAATTTGCCAATTTTGTCATGCTGTGGACTAACTTATAAGCACTCTGAAGATTTTATTCATGATGCTGGAAACCTAACGCGAACTATTTATGCCTGGCGAGTTATCCAGCAAAACAAAGTTGAATTGAACCGGTCGTATTAATTTCGTGCGACTCAAATTGTTACACTTGATTTTTCATATCAATAAGGGTTTCTAATTTTTCATGATTTTTTTCCTAAAACTATTCGATATGGATTAGGGGGCAGTCGGAACATTCAGGGTTTTGCTCTGATACATGAGCAGTCTTTTTGTATTCTATTTGAACAAAAAGCGATGAGCCGCTTTTCTTTCAGAGCAACATTAATAAAAAAGACTCATCATCAAGATTATTCACAATGAGGAACCAAACAAAACAAAATTCGATACCCTGAATGTTTCAACAAATTTAAAGTCGTTTTTTATTTTTAAAAAAAGTATTAAAAAAATCAAGGTTCCAAAAAATGTTTTTATTTTTTCATTAACTTCAACTCAGCAGTATAATAATAACAACAAGACTCCTCGTATTAGGGTGAAGCCCTGAAATTTCCGACTGCCTTTGAAGGTCTATGGAGCAGTAATAACATCGAAAAAATAAATGTAATAAAGTAGAATGACATTTTTTTTTGTAAATTTGAGATTTTTGTTGAAGTGCAAAGTCACAGATTTGGTTCCTAGTAACAAATCAATCATGACAAATAAGCTTCCTTCAACCAATTTGGAACGATTTCCAAGACGGATTAAATCTCCGCTAAAGACAACAAAACCTTTTGAATGATGTTTTTAAAATTCCGTCAAAAATGGCAAGTGAAAAAGTCGAAATTTGTCTGAAAAAAGCACCCGAGCTCAAACATTCCGTTACTTTCGTTACAAAAGTCGGAATTAAAAATTGTCAGATGAACAGTTTCTTAACAACATTCAAACTTCGTGTTCCCGATGTTGGATTTTCTTGCGAAAATTAAAATGCATTAAAACCCAACAAATATCAAAAAAACGGCAATGTGGATTTCAAACTATGTAATACTTAACCAAAACTGCTTGCACCTGCTAATCTGTTCAATGAGATGAACACCACTAGAAAGAAAAATGAAGCAATAAGTTGTATCAGAAAAAGCAAAAATGTACATGATGCTGTAAATTTCGAACACGTGTGGGAGTTTCGAATGAACGTTGGGTGATTCCAGAAATGGCGTGCTCCATAAATTGGGTTTCTCAAATGGCTTACTGTTTCCGATTCCACGAAAATTGAAGTGGTTTCATCACTATTTTCAAACGTAGAGTTGGAACTTTCGAAATCAATTTATAACAAAAACAAAAATATTTGTCTTGTTGTCAACCATTTTTTTGATTGCGGCGTCCCTCATATGCGCTACCACTGATTGACAAATATGGAAAGATAGCATTTCAAAAAACATATAAATACATACAAAACATTTTGCTGAGAAACGGGGCATTCTGGACCCATGCTCTTCTGACAGATTTTCACATGTCATGTTTTTCAACGCAATAGCGGACACAATTTGGTAGATTCCAACTCGACGAAGGTCTCACTGGAGTTCGAAATATTGAAAATGGTTTGTGTTGAATTTAACGTAAATAGTTCATATTTTCAAATCCAGAAAATATGGCTCACAAATATTTTTCATATAAAGCTTCGTGCCTATCATTATTTAAGATTAACAAAACGAGCATGTTTCTCGTGTTGCTTCTACACGTATAAGGCAAAGTTTATGAGTTGACTCATCGATATTTCGGCTGTGGTGTCCTTGTCTACATCATACTCTGCACATGCCGCTGAAACACAACAAGCATCGCATTATCCCAAATCTCAAAACTGACCCCCAAAAAACTGAAGTAACCCACACAGAGGTAAAAAAAAAAGCTCCATTTTTAAAATTTTAGAAAAAACGAGACAAAGGCCCACTGCATTGAGAACCTGTAAAAAACAAGATCTACCAAGAATTTTGGCCGTTTGTATTAAATTGCCAAATTTATTAAATTAGCATTTTTCACCATTTTAAGGAAGTGGAAACGTAGCCGACATTGAAACTTTTTTGAAGCTCTTTTTTTGAAGTCTCTAAGGATTTGGAGGTGCAAGTTGCACATAGGAAAACCATTTGTGAGTTGAGATCTTGGACCAGGCCGAAATAGTATAATCAAACGCGTTGGTACATGATACTTGTCGAACGACCATTAACTGTTTTTTTTAGACTAGTTGAACACTCATCCGAAAAGAGTGACTGCCTGTGCATCCTAGTGAATCAAAGAGAGAACTGTATGTATAGAAATATTGACTGTTGACCTAGACAGCTGGCGACTTTGGCGGCTATGGCGATGAAGTCGTTGAGGGAGATGCCGCCCCCTTTGTTCGCATATCTCACCACAAGTTTCGCCATGATCTTTTTGCTCAGAGACGCACCTGAAAAACCAAACAAGACTGCTCGCATCAGGGTGAAGCCCTGAATGTTACGACTGCCTTTTAAGGTCTATGGAGCAGTAATAGCATGAAAAAATTAAATATAACAAAAATTGATTTTTTTTCTTCAGATTTTGAGATTTGTTGTGAAAATCATACCCCCAAACGCCATATAAAAATCAAAGTGATAAATTTCACTTCTAGTAATAAATCAATAAAGGCAAACAAGACTGTTCGTATCAGGGCGAAGCCCTGAATGTTACGACTGCCTTTTAAGGTCTATGGAGCAGTAATAGCATGAAAAAATTAAATATAACAAAAAAAAAATTTTTTTTCAGAATTTGAGATTTGTTGTGAAAATCATCCCCCCAAACACCATATAAAAATCAAAGTGATAAATTTCACTTCTAGTAATAAATCAATAAAGGCAAACAAGACTGTTCGTATCAGGGCGAAGCCCTGAATGTTACGACTGCCTTTTAAGGTCTATGGAGCAGTAACAGCCTGAAAAAATTAAATATAACAAAAAAAAAGATTTTTTTTTTTCAGAATTTGAGATTTGTTGTGAAAATCATCCCCCCAAACGCCATATAAAAATCAAAGTGATAAATTTCACTTCTTGTAATAAATCAATAAAGACAAACAAGACTGCTCGTAACAGGGCGAAGCTCTGAATGTTCCGACTGCCTTTCAAGGTTTATGGGGCAGTAGTTACATAAAAAAATTAAACGTATTACATTAAAATGAAAAAAAAAATCTAAATATGAAATTTTTTTATGAATCATCACCCCGAACGACATATAAAGTACAAAAGATCAGATTTCGCTTTTGTAACAAACCAATTATGGCAAATAAGCTTCTTTCAGCCGATTTGAAACGATTTCAAAGACGGATTAAATCTCTGCTTACGCGTTAATAGCGCGAAATATATCGCTCGTTAATTGTCCCAAATTGGCCAAAATGGCAATCTTTAAACCCTCATAACTTTACAAAAAACAATCACAGGAAAAATATTGTTTCAAATTTAAGTTCAAGACAACAATACCTTTTGAATGATTTTTAAAAATTCCGTCAAAAATTGCTAATTAAAAAAAAAAAAAAATATCTCTGGAGAAAAAAAACCCACCCCGAGCACAAATATTCAAGTACTTTTGTATCAAAAATCGGAACAATAAGCTTCTTTCAACAAATTTGGAACAATTTCTTAGACGGATTAAATCTCCGCTTACGCGTTAATAGCGCGAAATATATCGAGCATTAATTGACCCAAAGTGGCCAAAATTTAAACCCCCATAACTTTACGAAAAATAATTTTTTTTTCAAAATTAGGCTCAGAGCAACAATAATTTTTAAATGACAGAAATAAATTCCGTCAAAAATGTCCAGTTGAAAAGTCGAAATTTGTCTGAAGAAAAAAAATCCACCCCGAGCACAAATATTCCGTTACTTTCGTTACGAAAGTCGAAACGACAAGAAAAAAATTATAAGTCCATCTTGTAGAAACATAAATCTTGGGCGAGCCATATTGTAGATGTAAAATGATGTAGAAAATCACATTAAAAAAGTAGGTAGACATTTTGGACCCGCATCAAATTGCCCGACTTCAGTTTTTAACGACTCGACCTAAAATTGCTATTCTACCTACTCCACCCTAACTGAAAGTAATTTGATTGACGACCGAAGAATTATGTTTTACTGTTTAGCTAATGAGCTTAAAATTATTTTATGACCAGTAGCTGGTCAACAAAGCAAATTTCTGATATGAAACTTAAGTCGGGAATCTTTTTTGTTCCTACCATTGAAAATGGGAAAGAATTTTGTATACGAGTGTTTTAATTTTTTTGCCTTCCACACAAAATCAAGTACCACACTATATCATCGAGTTGGGTCGAGAAAAACCGGTTTGAAATTTTTGATTTTTGGTCAAATTTTGAGCTAATAAGGTGACCGTGTAGGCTTACAATAGCTTATTTAAGCTTATTTTAGGCCGTGAAAACTTAGTTTTACTCAATTAAAAGTATTTTTGGTGTTTTTTAGCTCAATTTTGGGAAACAAAACTTAAAAATTGATATATTTTACTATGATTCTCAAATATGCCTAAGTTCTATTTTTTCGCTCAGATATTTATCACAACATACAAAAAAAAACGCACCAATTTGGAAAAAAAAAATTTTTTTTGTATTTTTTAAGACTGTGGTCGGAACATTCTGCGCTACTTGCTCAGTAACCGGCTATCCTTGTTGCTTCTTGAATCCTTTGGGGTATTTGCTTGACAAAATGTTTACCAGCTTAAGATTCAAAACGTGAACTTTGCCGCAATGCTAACAGTGGACTCTAACGAAAAACTATGGATTTCAAAAATTTTACTATCGTGAAAAACATCAAAAAATGAAGGCAGAATTATATGACGTCCCGAGTTTGAACCCCCGGCTCTGAAACGCTTAAGGTTTTGTCCTGACACGAGCAATCTTTTGACAAATCTATTCCCAGAAAACATTCAATTTAGAGAAAAAATTACTTGTTCGAAAAGTAGATCTTTGTAACTTTGTGGCCTTTTAGATGGCATATGAAAAACCAACCTAGACTTTTGATGGCAGGACGTAATTCAAATGCACTGAGAGTGTTGGATCTGTCGGCATCAAACTCTTTGAAGGTTTCCTCCGGGGAAATAATTAACCTCCGGGGAAAATATAGCCATCTTTGAAAAACTCGTGGGCTTCATTTTTAACTTGCATGATCTCATTGATATGAAACAGCCATTTATGGGTTTCTGTTAATTGCTAACGCTTCATTCAAACGATTCCTGTACTTGTAAAAAAATTTGAATTCTCCAAAATCTCCATTAACACTCTCTGCCATTTTTTCAAAGATTTTTTGGAAATTTTTGTGCTCGGCCTCTTGAAATTAATGCAGACTGGTGCAGAGAAGTAGATGACATTTTATCAAAAAAAAAAACGTTTCGCAAAATCTCGTCAAGCCAAAACGTTTGTTCGCGCTTAAATTAATCTTAAATTAATGAGGTCATTATAGCGCGAAAGTGAAAAAGCTAGAATTAGATTTTCTTAGACAAAAGGCCTTGAAAACTACTGGTTTGTCCAATTAAGGTCAGTTTGCCATCAAAAATGTTTATAGATTTTGAGATTGTTGGAAACCGTATTGCTAAAATGTTAACCAAAAAATTTTTAACTCATTGTTTTCAGATGTTACTTTTTCTTCATATTATCTGTTTAAATTGCCGATAATTTACAGATATTGAAGCAGGTTTTTTAGATCTTACAGGATACGAGAGTGCGGCACATTTTGGTCCTCCGACCCGGACATTAGATTTTCCGGACGATATTTGCGAACAATTTTTCTTGGACGACAAATTTGCCGAAAGTGACCAATTAGCCGAAATTGTTCCAAAGACGACCCAATTGGCCGAAAGTGTCCAATTAGCCGAAGTTTGTCCAAACACAACCCAATTGGCCGAAAGTGTCCAATTAGCCGAAATTTGTCCAAACACAACCCAATTGGCCGAAAGTGTCTAATTAACCGATATTTGTCCACACAGGACCCAATTGCCGAAAGCGTCCAATTTGCCGATATTTGTCCAAACACGACCCAATTGGCCGAAATTGTGCAATTAGCAGAAAATTGTCCTAAAGTATCCCAATTGGCCGAAAGTGTCCCATAACCGATATTTGTCCAAACACGACCCAATTGCCGAAAGCGTCCAATTTGCCGATATTTGTCCAAACACGACCCAATTGGCCGAAATTGTGCAATTAGCAGAAAATTGTCCTAAAGTATCCCAATTGGCCGAAAGTGTCCCATAACCGATATTTGTCCAAACATGACCCAATTGGCCGAAAGTGTCCAATTATCCGATATTCGTCCAAACACGACCCAATTGGCCGAAATTGTGCAACTAGCCGAATAGTGCCCTGAAGTAACCGAACTGGCCAAAATTGTCCAATTAGTCGAAATTTGTCCAAACTTGACCCAATCGGCTGAAATTGTGCAATAGCCGAAAGTGGCCCGAAACTGCCGAATCGGCCAAAAGTGTCCAATTAGCCAAAACTTGTCAGAAGGTGACCAATTGGCCGAAACGAACCAATTGGCCAAAACGACGCGATTGGCCGAAACGACCCGATTGGCCGAAACAACCCAGTGAGCCGAAACTTCCCAGTTAGGAGAAGAGGAGGCCTTTTAAGGTATCCTGATTGTGGTTTGTGGACATCCATTTTTTCTCAACATCCGAAGTTTTCCATGGATTTTGGAATCTACCGGTGAACGCCTCTACAAAACTTGTAAGATTAAAACCAAAACTTTTTTATTTGTGCTAGCTTGCTGATTTGATGCTTTAAATTCTGATACGAGGTTTTTTGATGGCAAAATCGTAGCCCCCAATTTTTCTCGATACTAAAAAACTGATCAGAAAATTTTCTGTGGGTTTAGGAAAAAACCGGCCTCATAAACTTTAATTACGTTATCCTAACACCGTGTTTCTAAGCTCAACACTGTATCGAAAAAAAGGCCGAAAATTTTGAAAAAAAAATTGAAAATTTTTGATTTTTTTTTCCAAAAATTTCAAAGTCTTGCAAATTATTCAGCAAAGCGCCTAGTTTCATAATAATTTGATTAAAACGACCGAGTCGAGTTTTTTGCCCAAATTTCGGACTTTTTAGAAAAAAAACTCAAAATTTCGCAAACGCATCAAGTTACTGTTGGAACTTGAACATTTGGGTGAAAACGTGGAAAAAAACTTTTTATAAAAATAATCCCCCCACACGCCATAAAAAGTACAAAAGGATAGATTTCGCTCCTTGTAACAAACCAATTATGGCAAATAGGCTTCTCTTAACCAATTTGAAACGATTTCTAAGACGGATTAAAGCTCCTCTTACGCATTAATAGCGCGAAATATATCGCGCGTTAATTGCCCCAAATTGGCCCAAATTGGCCAAAATTGCAATCTTTAAACCCCCATAACTTAACGAAAACTAATTTTTTTTCAAAGCTAAGCTCAGGACAACAATAACTTTTAAATGATAGAAATAAATTTCGTCAAAAATGTCTAGTTAAAAAGTCAGAAAAAATTATACAACAAGAAAAAAATTATAAGTCTATCTTGTAGAAATATAAACCTTGGGCAAGCCATATTTTAGGTGTAAATGATGTAGAAACTCACATAAAAAATGTAAGTAGACCTTTTGGACCCGCAAAATTGTTTCGCCTTCAAAAATTTTTTAGCGCAAAAAAATTGCCCGCCTTCAGTTTTTAATGACTCGACCTAAAATTGCTATTCTACCAACTCCACCCTAACTGAAAGTAATTTGATTGACGACCGAAGAATTATGTTTTACTGTTTAGCTAATGAGCTTAAAATTATTTTATGACCAGTAGCTGGTCAACAAAGCAAATTTCTGATATGAAACTTAAGTCGGGAATCTTTTTTGTTCCTACCATTGAAAATGGGAAAGAATTTTGTATACGAGTGTTTTAATTTTTTTGCCTTCCACACAAAATCAAGTACCACACTATATCATCGAGTTGGGTCGAGAAAAACCGGCTTGAAATTTTTGATTTTTGGTCGAATTTTGAGCTAATAAGGTGACCGTGTAGGCTTACAATAGCTTAATTAAGCTTATTTTAGGCCGTGAAAACTTAGTTTTACTCAATTAAAAGTATTTTTGGTGTTTTTTAGCTCAATTTTGGGAAACAAAACTTAAAAATTGATATATTTTACTATGATTCTCAAATATGCCTAGGTTCTATTTTTTCGCTCAGATATTTATCACAACATACAAAAAAAAACGCACCAATTTGGAAAAAAAAAATTTTTTTTGTATTTTTTAAGACTGTGGTCGGAACATTCTGCGCTACTTGCTCAGTAACCGGCTATCCTTGTTGCTTCTTGAATCCTTTGGGGTATTTGCTTGACAAAATGTTTACCAGCTTAAGATTCAAAACGTGAACTTTGCCGCAATGCTAACAGTGGACTCTAACGAAAAACTATGGATTTCAAAAATTTTACTATCGTGAAAAACATCAAAAAATGAAGGCAGAATTATATGACGTCCCGAGTTTGAACCCCCGGCTCTGAAACGCTTAAGGTTTTGTCCTGACACGAGCAATCTTTTGACAAATCTATTCCCAGAAAACATTCAATTTAGAGAAAAAATTACTTGTTCGAAAAGTAGATCTTTGTAACTTTGTGGCCTTTTAGATGGCATATGAAAAACCAACCTAGACTTTTGATGGCAGGACGTAATTCAAATGCACTGAGAGTGTTTGATCTGTCGGCATCAAACTCTTTGAAGGTTTCCTAAACATAAACTGTAATGACTGTCTTCATTTCTGATATACATATTTTTCCTGAGTTCTTCATGATCGATTGACAATATCGTCCAGACGTGTTGCCACAATTATGAAAAATCTGGTACTGAGGTTTTGAGCCATTAGATTACACTTTTTGAGTAATTACTTATGGTAAGAATTGATTGTGTATCTTGCTAAGCAAGCTAAGTTTTTAAAAATTAGGGTGAGGCAACATTACCCAGCCCAGAAAAATAACCAAAAAAGTTGCACGTAGGTCTTAATCAGGGGCACAACAGCGGTTCGCCGTGATGAGCTGTACAGCTCGTATGTTGGCCCTTTCCCTCGTGGATAAATGGTCTTAAAAATTAGTACGTTGTCTTTTGGGATGTGAAAAGTCACATTTAAAACTATCTTTGTTCGAAATAGACAAAAGAGGGACTCTTTTCCACTTTCCCCCACATTTGAGCTTCAATTTTGAAAAACTAATTGTCCCTAGTCATAAGGTAATGAAATTTTCCATGGTGAACAAACTAAAACTATTGTGAACAAATCTGTCTTTCATATCTTATTTCGTAACGTAATATCACGCATTCAGCCATAATAACACGTAAGACAATTGAAAAAATGGAAGGGGAGTGGAAAAGAGCCATAAATAGACTTTGCTCGAATCAGTTTAGGTTTCAGTTCACACTTTGATGGGTGCTTGGTGGATTGGATGGTGTGGTAATGTATGCTGACCTGTACTTTGCAGATGAATCTCCACATCTCAGTGAACTCCTCCGAGTCCAGGGCTCCCGAGTAGTCCAGGTCAAACAGGGACACCAGATTGCGACAGGTCTCCAGACTGAACTCCGACTGACCCAGTTCTATGACAGATGAACACAATTTAACAGTTTACTCTTACTCAAATCTAAACTGGGTTAGAGTTCAACTCTATTCGTTCTTCAGGAGCGAATGTTTGAAGATATTTTGTATCAAGTGGTATTGAGCCGCCCCGGTAGCGATGGTGCCCATCATTAACATGATTGCTGGTTCAAATCGCACATGCGCTGCTATTTGCAAGTTGAACTCTTTCAATTAATTCATAGCTTAGTGGGCGCTGGTTATATGCTCTCCAGAAACAACTACTTCTGGAGATATAGTTTTATATCTTGCCAACCCAAATAATTAACCTCTGGGGAAAAATAGAGCCACCTTTGAATAACTCGCGAGTCTCATTTTTAACTTGCATAAACTCATTGATTTGAAGTTGCCATTTATGGGTTTTTGTTAATTTCTAACGCTTCATTCAAACGATTCCTGTACTTGTAAAAGTAACCTGAATTTTCCTAAAACTCCATTAACACTCTGCCACTTTTACAAAAAAATTTTGGAATTTTTTGTGCTCGGCCTCTTGAAATTAATGCAGACTGGTGCAGAGAAGTAGATCAAAAAAAAGTTTCGCGAAATCTCGTAAAGCCAAAACCTTCCCAACGTTAGCACCCCCAAAGAACTTCCAAATCTACCAAGCCAATAACTTCTTCCAAAAAATCCTTATTTTAAATAACCCCCTACCTCCGGTTTTGCACTGGCCGCTTACTTTTGAAGTATCCACACTTGTCCATTATCTGTTTGAGTTCCCACACATCGCAGTGTCTGTCGTCGCCGGCCATCTGATCAAACATGGCCAACATCTTCGCACCCACAGACGATTCGTGATTGGTGAACACCTGTGAACAATTAAATTACTCTGAATTAATGATGCAATATGGTAGTGAAATTTGATTCTGAATTCTCTTATATTTCAGCAACAATAGCTAAAGAGGGATTTCAATTCATTAAGTAAACAGACAATTCTTCCTTTTGAAATGTTTTTTTTTTCCAATAGGATTTAGGTTTATGATTTTTATTTACACAACCAACTGTTTGCTCTTTCGAGTCTCAAAGTGGTCTTAGTCGATGGCATGAACATCATTATTAAAACCTATTTAGCTGGCGCAGAGTTTTTGGCATATTTGATAGCTTAATCGTTGTATTGGAACTTTTGATAGCACTATTTATAATGAATTATTTCGAAGTGAAGGTCAAGAAATATGTCGCAAAGTCGAGTAAAATATCAATTCAACAAACAATCATATCAAAGTAAATATGGAAATTTACTCACGTGACTCTAAAACAGGCAAAAAATCTTGGTCAAGAATAAATTGACAAAGAATTTTTAAAAAGAACTATGAGCGTCCATTTAGTCAATTTACCTCGAAGTTGATTGCCCCGCCCGTGTCATCGTCAACTTCCCTGTGAACAAACCTCATCTGTTAAGAGTTCTGAAAAGTAGCGAGGTAGCGTTCCAAGGAAAGGCGGGGGATGGGTGAAAACGCTGACCAAAATTTGCTCAAAAAATGCTCTAAAAAACCGTTCCACCCTGCCAAAAAAATCCTGCGTATTGTGCGCTATCGGTTCTAAACCACCAACGGTGTTTTTCAGATATGTTCAAATAAGGATTTAGCGGAATATTTGGTAGGTTGTTTTTTTTATCTCAACTATCTAGACTTACTCGACAGTTCTATAAAAAATATAGATATCTATATAAGCGGACTTTTGGGACCCGTAAATGCTGCTTACTTGGAAGTGGCCTGTTTCTCAGTGTATATTCTGAGCATGAAGTTGCCGTGCTTGTTGGGTTCGTGTGTGGAGGGGATTATGCAGTAGTTTCCAGGGGGTAGTCTGCACCTCAGCACCGCCTCCCTACTGTCAATGAATGTCTTACTCTTGGCTACCTGTTTATGGTGCAGAATGTAGTCCAAGTCCAGCTCATCAGGGGCGTCATCGTCCACCTTAAATTTCCAAAAACCGACGTTTAAATATTATTTGACGATAAACAATTTTTGTGTATTGTACCAATTATTAAACCCTTGCTTTATTATTTTGGTAGTTTTTGTAATGTTTGTAACACTTTGGTCGGTTTATTTGTGCATTATTTGATTACAGAGAAAAACCAACATAATATTTTCTCAATGGGAGGGCTTGTGCAATGTTTTGCAAAGCGTTAATGGTGTTTATTGCATATTAAAAAATCAAACTATTACAAATTTTTTCAATTAAATTAAATTATTCGCAATTCGAGCGAATGTAAGTGCAGTTGCATAATGATGATACCTTGTAGACGGCTATTCCGATGCAGTTTTTCTTCACCCCCACCCCCCTCGTCTTCTTCTGCATGAGTGACACCACCATAGTACATAGGTCATCTTCGTCCTCCTCATCCACATCCACCAACTTCACTCGGAACTGGGGGTTCTTCGTGAACGATTCCTACATCAATAAAACGTAGCGTGTGATAACGAGATCTCACTTGACCTCTAGCTTCAGGTCTACCACAGCCTGACCATTTTCGGCTGCAATAGTGGTACCACATGAAAGTTCTAGACGCAAAAAAACGGCCTTGAGTCGCAACAAAAGAGCTTCGCTCAACAAAATAGCTCAGCCTGGAAATGAGGGAAGTAATTCAAATGGACTATCCTTAAACAGGCCTGTTAAGGGGCCTACTGCAATAGCTCCTCTGCGATTCACGGGAACTACAATAAGAAAATTAAAAAAAAAACCAACTAAACGTCAGCTAGTTTCATTCACCCGGAACTGGGAATTTTTTAATATCTCCAGTAACCAGATCTGAAAAAAGCCCAAAAAACCAAAAAAATACATCGACATACCCAAAAAAATTCTAAAAGTGTTTAAGAAGATTGATATAATTTTTTAAACTGAAATCATTTTTTCTCGACACTGGGTGTTTTTTTGGAAAACTTTTAAATATCGCTCAAATTGCGACTGAAAGAACTTTATTAAGATATAACTCGATCCATTCCGTTGATTTTTTGTGGAATCATCAAATGTTTATTTGCGATTTTTCGCGGGAAACAAAAAAATTACAACACACTCGAATACAAAGCTCTTCCCAATTTTCAATGATCGGAACCATGATACACTCCAGCAGACGAAAAACGCTTAAAAAATATTCTCAATGACTGAAAAAAGACAAAAAGTTGCCTTTATACAATCTGTGTATACAACTTAATAAAAATAATACCCTTGAGAAATGATACACAAAAATAATCCATCAAACACTTTCTTTAGTTCGACCGATTTCACGAAGAATTGAACTGAGCTCTTCGTAAACATGAAAATAACTTATTTGTCAAAAATTCCAGCACAACAGTTGAATTTAGTTTTAAATTGGCTGACAGTGAACTTTCTACATCACAGTCTGATTTAGTTTTTGATTGGGCTCACCTTGAAGTTTCTGCATCCCCCGGCAGTGGACTGGTTCCACTGGTTGTCGTGTCTCTCAACATACCAGCGTTTTTTCACACTTGCCCGCCTCCCTGCCGCCTCCTCCTCCCCCGGCTCCCGATGACAAATCGCCACATTTTTGAACTCGCGACAGAAGTCCTCGAAACTCATCCTGAAAAGTTAAAAATATATGCGGCTGCCAGACCCTTCTCCCTCTCAAAAAAGTTTAGTTTAGCCACCTAGAAGCTGAGAGTGCCACCCGGGTCAATGTCTCAGACTTAACTCCTAGAATTGTCCCAACTGCATAGTCGTGCAGAAACTATATGCTGCAAAAATCTGGACATTAAATTGTGAAAGTCGCAAGTGAGTCGTCAAATTGTGCTAATACTAAAGTTTGGGCATAAAATCCGACCATAAAGGTTGCGAAAGTCTAAACATGACGGCGCGGGAAAATCTGGTAATGCCAAAAAGTCTGGAAATGCTAAGAGTTGGTTGCGATAAAACGTCGACATCAACCCGGGAAAAATAATTCCGACGGCGCCTTAGCAGAGATAAGCTTAAGCTTAAAACACAATTTTTGTAAGTTTCACATAAATGCTAAGCTGCACTTATAGCAAACACAAGAGAAAACGATAAAAGGCATCTAAGAAAAACAACTAAAAAGATCTAGAAATTAGCCTTGAGTAATAAAACCATTGCTATGAGTCGGATTTGAACCAACAACCTCGAGACTTGGGGGTCTCTAGGGCCTCGCATCTGTGCCACGAGTCTTAAAATTTGCCACCAATGAACACAGAGGCTATGCCTCGCTTTGCAAACACTAAGGAAAACACGACAAAAAGCAGCTTTAGAACGCGCAATAAGAAAAAATGGAAATAAGCCTCGAATTAGCAAAAATCCAGCTACGTCTAGGATTCGATCTGCGACCTATCGCAATCAATAGAATTTGAGTCTCACAAACTCACCGCTCAGCCACGCACGCTAAGCCAACAACAAACACTAGTCACGAATAAGGCAGCTACGTATGCTAACAAACTGCCAATGAAATTCAACAGAAGTGGCACCAAAAAAAATGCAGACAATTTTGCAAGTAACAATTTGAAATATAAAAAGCTGAATGCATCCACACTAACTTAGAATGTAACTACCAAAAAAACATATAATATAGCCCAGAATTAGTATCTATGTTCCACTTTTTTAAAATGAGGGATGAATAGGCTTGTGATGGTTTTTTTATTCGAAAAATGTGCAAGAAAAGTGCTGAGTGGTGATTGATATTGAAATCTTTGAGCTCCCAAATGAATCTGTTTTCACTATCGTAATTTTTATTCAAAACTACGGAAAATTTTGACACGATTTTTTGTTTTGCACAAAAAACAGTTCTAAATTACAAAAAATCTAATTGACTCTTTAGTTTTTTATAGGACTCAAATTCTAACAATTGATATTTGGGTTCCATGACATTCAGCCCTTTTCTGATCTACCCTGTGCTAATCTACCCTTATTTATTCTATCCTATCTTTCAAACAACATAATACGAATCTACTCTATACCATCCTACCCTATAATTAAAGCAATTGAAACTTACTCCACTCTCTTAAAGAATCCGAAACAGAATATATCCAAACAAATCAAAGAATCATTAATTGTGATCAAAAAATAATTGCCGCACGTCAAGAAAATATCAAAACAACGTAAATTTGCTGGTTTAAAATAGAAGTTACTTCAAAGCTTGAACAAACAGTAATTTTAAGCCAATTTTTTCATAGAAATGCGTTGAGGATATTTCCTCAACGAGCAAAAGTTATATCACACTAAGTTGACATAGCTTAGCGGATAATGCAGGTGTTTTAAAATTAATAATTCAAAAAATCAAATCACCAGGAAGTCAAATTTTCAATGAAAATCGGAAATTAACAAAGGTTTGATTAGCTGATCGCAAAAAAGGGGTAGACCTCCCAGTACCAGGCCAAGGCGGTACTGGGGGCGGCGTGAGGGAGAAGGCAAATTTCTTTTGTCATTGACCTCTACTACATTCCAAATTATCAACCCTCTACGGCCATAGGAACCTCTTTTTTTCAGAAAATCAAATGGATTTTTGAAAAATTCACAAAGTTTGATAATACTAACAGAATTAGGAATGATTTAATTGCGCGAGAGAGTACAAGAATATGTTAAAATAGAATCTTCATTAAAATTGTAGCAGATCATTTCACTTTCTCATTCAACCCCCTGTAGTTCTTGCGACTGGAGTTGCTGTTCCCTCCCCCCCCCCCCCCCTCCACTGCTTTCATTATATTGAGTTTTTGATTGACAGCATCCAATTTGATTTGCCACAGAAAGGTGTGAATGGATGGGTGGTTTCCTTCAAAAAGAGTAGCAACGCCAAGATGCCAGCTGTCTACAGCATTTGTTGTCCTTATTAATACGGCAGTCCCTTAATGAGAATTATTTCAAAAGTTTTCCGGAAAGACAGGTTAGCGAGGATTCCATCCGATGATTTCGCCTTTGACGTAGGTGCGTTGGAAGTATGAGGCTACCTCATAAAGTATTTCAGTGATGTTTTTGTCGAGATCAACTTTGTCAGAAACTTTTTCGATCTCCTCAAAAACAAGAAAGCAGCAGTGACCATTTCAACTGGTAAAAAACTTAGAGCTGGAATAAGGCGCATTGACAATTTGAAATTATGATATGTCTCATACAAAAGTTTTAGGCCCGCTTCTTTTATTTTCCGCTTCGTTAAAAAATCATCCTTTAAGCAATGCTCGGTTATGATGACAAGCGAAAGGTTTTAGTGCTGCCCGTTGAAAATCGAGGAGAATGCGGTGAGGCTCGGTGTTTTTGGTGATGGCTGATAACTCCGTCAGTAGCTTTTTGTTTGTGTGCTCTCTTTTCTTTGGCAACAATGCATAAATGCAGAGTGGTAAAATCTAGCGAGTTGACTGTGGATGGTGTTAAGATGATAAAAATTGAATAGGGCAAATTCTGAATGTTTCGTTGCACAACCAAACATCTCGATGTAAAATAAAACTCTGCATTTTGTCGCGATCTCCAAAAATTAGCAACCTTTCTGGATCTTCAATCCTACTATCGAAGACGCAAAAATCCTCGTGTTGCTTCGATGCCTCAAAATGTCTATCGACATTTCGAAGCACCCTGGGTCTCCTATTTACCTTCTTTTGATCCAGGGCCCCATTTTTCCCGACTGGCAAGAAGAGCTAACTGAACGGCTCTTTTTTGTACACAGATTGCAGGCAAATTGCTATATTGATGCTATTTACTGGTGCTTCCTGAGTTTTGGTGTTCTGTTTCATTTTCTACACGAGAAATCTTGCATCTGAACGACCAGGGAAAACTTCGTGGGTGTGTTCTTTTCTACAGGAAATTTGATCGTTATCTCGGGTTATTGCCGTTGTTTTGCATTTATGGGACCCCCACTTTGAACACTTCTAGTGAATGTTTCCATTCTTTTTTTCTTGTTTTTTGGTAAATTTATGGCCATCAATTACAAGCGATCTCCGATTCTGTTGGGATAGAACGCAAGAAACTTGACTCATTTTGGTAAATTTCATTCCAAGGAAAACTGATATAATTAGGTAGTTTTTGTTTCATTTTTGTTCTTGATATTAAAAATTGGAGAATAAAACCTGTTGATTGCGACAAATTGTAGATTTTGAGGCTAAAATTGCGATTGATTTTAAAAAATAATTACCTTAAGTGGAAATTTCAAATTGAGTTTAAAAAATTGGACTCAAATGAATTAACACGTGCTGTTATCTTTCCGATTCTAATTAGCTTTTCGAAAGATTTTTTTATTTTTCGGCAAAGCGACACTGGGTAGATTGGTATATAGGGCGGATTAGTATAAGGTATATTAGTATGTAGGGTATAATGGCATAGGGTAGAATGGTATAGGGTAATTTGTCGAATAGGTAGATTGTCCTGCCACCGACTTTTGATAGTGATTGTCCAACATTTTTAATTAATCAATAAAATTATCAAAAACTATTGGAGCCCAAAAATAGGGCAGTCAAAACATAAAGAGCTTTGCCCTGATTAAGATCAACCCTGAAACATCTGCTTTAGCCTTTTGAATGAAAAATAGGAAAAGATCTATTATCAAATCATTTAGGCAATAACACCTCAGTACTAAAAAAAAAGAAATTGATTGAGTTTATTAGAACGATTATTTACTCTGCTGAAAATATATCTGAATAATTGAATTTAACAGCTCAAACAAAATTGAGAATACTCATTGAAACTTGTTGAAAGTCGATTCAAGACTCAAAATGACTAAGCGGCCTCTAATAGTAATCAAGACTCAGCTCATCGAAAAACTTCAACTGGTGAAGTGTCAAACAAAAAAAAACTTTATATCAAAAGTCTTTCCCATTTGGTTGCTGGAATGCTTCTGACATAATTAGAGTTGGAAAAACAGAACCCTGACCAAAGATCAAAAATTGATATTTTTGATTAAGGAAACAAAAATCTGGAGCAATATTTGAAATTGAACACCAGCCTAACTGAAATCAAAAGCTGAAATGCTATAAAACAAAAATAACTGATGTAATGGTACAAAAACGCTAGAGTATTTTCTTGTAAATGAATTTGCAGTGCTGAAATTTTAACCCATTTTGGTATCTAAAAACTTGAAACAAGATTTGAAGAATTTTGACACACAAAACTGGAAAAGTTTCTTTAATGTTTTCAATTGAAGAACAGATCATTAGATTGAAAAAAATTGGACCGTCATTAGCCGAAGTAGGTTGATTTAACAAATGATGAATGATGGACTACATATTTGGCGCGCTTGAATATGTTACGCAATATTCTTTGTTCATAATTATCATGATTTTTCTCGCCCAAGCTTAAGCAAAAAAAAACTTGCTGGTAGGGTTGATAGTGGTGATTCCGATTCAAAAAAAATTAATGTCGAGAAAAATTTTTGTTCCGACTTTCATAACAAAAGTAACGGAATATTTGTGTTCGGGTGGGTTTTTTTCTTCAGAAAAATTTCGACTTTTTAACTAGCCATTTTTGACGGAATTTATTGACATCATTCAAAAGCTATTGTTGTCCTAAGCTTAAATTTGAAAAGATATTTCACCTGTGATCATTTTTCGTAAAGTTATGGGGGTTTGAGGTTGCTATTTTGGCCAATTTGGGACAATT